ATAGTACCCCCTCTATTTTTCCTATACCTTTTATATGCGTGTCTCCTATTCCTCTCACTAGGACTCTATTTTGGTTTGCTACTTTAATATAATATTTCTTTTCAGTGAAGTTACTTAATATTTCTCTATTATGAGTTGTATGGCATGTGGCTCCTGAATCTATGAGCCAGGTGTTGAGTGAATCAGATATCAAAGTGTTATTATTTCTTATTCCATATAGTGATCCTTTCTTATTTTTTCTAGGGTTATTTCTGTATGTTTGTCTTTCTCTAGAGTGTGGTGATTCTCTTCTCTTATACCTGTAATCTGGGGAGGTTCTGTCTAAAAAGTGTATTCTTCTATCCTTGTGTTTATATGAGTCACTGTATCCTATATTCTTGGGACAGTCTCTACTCTGATGTCTTTCAGATCCACATGTGAGACATTCATGTGGGTATCTGTCTCTGGCCCTGAAATCAGTCCTTCTTTGATTTCTACCTTCTCTTTGTTGTGTATATCGCTCTCTTCTAAGTCTATCTTCAGTAATAAGCTTATTGGTAAGGTTTTCTAAAGTAATTTGCTCTATACTTAGGTTATCTATTAGTGTAATGTAGTTATCCCAGCTGTGATCTAGTGATTTAATTATAATGCTTTTCATGGTGTTGTCAGAAATGGTTTCTCCCCTTTGAATAAGGTCTGCTCTTACAGCGTTTAAATTCAAGATATGCTCACTCATGGATGTATCATGTTTTAGTTTGGCAGAATAGAATTCCCTAGAGATTTTTGTGGTAGTGGCTACATTTTTGCTATAGAACAGTCTGAATAATTTTTGATATACTTCAAATACAGTTAAATTATGCTCTATACTGGGGAGTATACTTGGGGAAATAGAAACAATTAACATATAGTATGCTTTGTGGTGGAGGCAGTCTATTTCATAGGTCCAAGGCTTATTTGGTGGGTTATCAATAAAAAATAAAACATTTTCTTTCATATATACAATCTGTAAACACTGATCCCATTCCATTAAGTTGCTTCCATCTAATTTCAATTTTATAAAGTCTGGAGGTATTGTCCCTGAGTGTAGTGAGGTGTTATTCATGTTTAGTAGCTGTCCATGATTTAAGACCTTAGCATACTCACAATAAGGCCTGGGTATGGTAGATGTATGTCTGTATTTACTTATCTCTACGTTGCGCTGACTTGTATTTATGTTTCCTTCTTCTTTCTTTGCAGGCTCGTTCTGGGCATGCTCAGTCCTCATTTTTCTCCAGCAGTCGATGAGGGAGGTTCCTGTGTCTGCAGCTCCTGGGGTGAAGTCCCAGACGGCCTTCTGTTGCTCTGCTTTGTTTCCGGAGGGCCTCTGGTGACTGAAGAATGCCTGGGGTGCTGCTCTGCTCATCGGGGAGTCTTCTCTGAGGTCGTCAGTAAGTGGAGCTTGAGGCGGGCCGCCATTGCCAATGGAGCCGGGTTGTTCAGGGAGCTGCTCTTCAGTAGGTAAGTATGATTGCCAGCTTGTCTTTCTTCGGGTGGCTAGGCCTTTCTTTAGACAGTCTATTTCTTTTTGGCCTTTGGTAGATGGTAGTTTAGAATTTTCTATTTCATTTTCTGGTTGTTTGTTTGGTATTGTTAGTTTAGTCCCGAGTGCTGCAGTTAGCACCTGTATAGCATTGTCTATTTCTACTTCAGTAGGTTGAGCTTTGTTTTGTTTAAATAATTGTTTTTTATTTGTTTTTGGACTCGGGTAATCATCTTCTTGGTAGGTTTTGTTTTTTATTTCGTAGTTTGAGGTTTGGAATTCTTTTAGTAATTGGTCAGGCATTTTAGAGGTATTAGGTGGGTAAGATGGCTGCCATGAAAAAGGCGGGAAGCTGTCGCCATCTTTGGTGTCATTTTTGAAGTCAGGGGTTGAATTTCTTACCTTGCAGTTTTCTTGTTTGTTATTTTCGTTATCTGCTGCTGTTCCGTGGTCGTTTATCATGCTGCGGATTTTCACAAGCAGATTTGATTCAGCTGTAGTTGTTTCTATTAATTCTAGTATTTTTCTTTTTACCTCATCTTCTTTGTTTGGTGTTAGCAGTTCATTTTCTTGTAATTGCGTTTGTTTCTTAATATTTTCAAGTGGTGTATATTTGTCAGGAGTTAGTTGAGCTGCCATTCTTTTCGTTATGTATCTGGTGGCAGGTCTTCTTTTGTCGTTATGTGAGTCTTGCATCTTTATGTTCGGTTGGGCCTACCAAACCATCCTCTTGCTACCAATTTGTTGCTAGTTTGGTTATCCTGGTTAGGCCCATATATAAGAGACTGTAGGCTTTCTTGTAATAGTAATATTTATTTCTTTTCTTCCTCAGGAACACAATTAGACAGGCACTAATCTGGGAGGAGCAAGAACTTATATACAGAGAAGGCGGGGCTAATGGTAAGTACTAACCAATGGTAAGTGACACAATGACATCACACAATGACATATAAACAAACACACATATTTACAGATATCAGGTTAGGTATTTTCATCTGTAACAATTTCATTCTTCTAAGAGAGGGGTGGGTGCTAACTTTCTACAACTGGAAACTGGAAAAGACAAAACTGGTACGACATGTGTTATCTTTGATTGAATTGGCATATAACAACCTGTGCTCTTACTCAGACTTTCCAACTGCCAATGGCTTTTGTCTCATCTCCCCTTTCCCACTTTGATTCTATGAACGCCCACTTTTTCACAAGTACTTCAAACAGTGCAGCTATTTCCTCAAAGAAATTAAAATGTATGTAGCTTTGTGCGTTGGCTTTAGTCCTAAGGGCCCGAGTGCCTCACTCTGTTAATTTGCAGGCTTTGGGATTAATAGAATGATGGTTTCAACCTTTTTCAGTTGCTGGAAATGTCTTTGGAGAGTTTTCCACCATTTACCTGATAGTCATAGGTAGAATAATGTTGAGGCATGGGAAGTCCTCCCAGGTCAGTCCCATAAGGACAAAATTGTGATATTGTTGAAAACAGAGACTGTGTGATCAGTGGTGAAATGTAAAATTTGTTTCTACCGGTTCTGTGGGCGTGGCTTGGGGGGGGTAATGTGACTGAGTGGGTGTGGCCAACTTTTTTTTTAACTTTTAAAACCATTTTTTCTACAACCTCTACAACCAAGAGGTTGTAAAAAAATGCTTTTAAAAGCCTCTGACAATCCCAGCTGAGCTGCACGATCATCAGAGGCTTTTTTTTTACTTTTAAAAGCATTTTTTCGGCCGAAGAGGTTGTAGAAAAAATGCTTTTAAATGTTTTTTAAAAAGCCTCCGATGATCGCGTGGCTCAGCTGGGCATAGCGGTGGAGGCAGGGATTTTTGCTATGGGTTCTCCGAACCACCCGCCACCATCGCTACAGGATCGGGTGATCCGGTCCAAACCGGGAGCATTTCACCTCTGGGTGTGATGCGCTTTTCTTCTGGCCTGACTAGCTGGCCAATCACATTGACTTTAATAACGCTTCAAAAGATGTTCATGCTTGATTCCCCCTGTACATCTTCTTGTGTGCCCACTTTGTCTTTCTTCATTTTAAACAAGGGCGTCTGCAGGGAATTATTTAAAAAAAAAATCAAGATGGTAGTCATCTAAGTATGATCAAAGATCAGTTTGTTATGTGTGTTACACTATTATGGCCATCCTTGGGTTTTTGACCTTTTCTGTGGAAATCTCTGTGTGCTTTATTGATTATCTCCTTGATCCTATTTTGCCTCTCTTTTGCTTGTGCTTTTCATGTTATGTTAATCTACGGTAGGCAAAAATCAAAAGGAATCTTTGGAGGTTTAACACATTTTAGTCTAAGGCATAAACCTTCCTGAGGGTACAATCTAAGTAATGTAACTCTTCTGAAGAAGAGTATTAAAAAATAGACTATATCACTCAAAATAAATGCTTTCTTCTGAAGAAGCATTTATTGTGAGTGATATAATCTATTTTTTAATTTAAAAAGTCACATGCAATTTAGTTTAGGGATTTCCCTATGTAGATAGTAAAGTCGTCTGCCACTGCTGTAAAATGATTGGGAGATGTATCAACCATCTAATAGATATTCTAATCAAACTTTGTTTCTGAATGGGGACGGCACTATCACTTGTGAATAAATTATGATAATCTGATTTAGTGTTTCATTATCCATTTCTTCCTTCTCTCTCTCAATTGATATATTCATATTTCTTCCTCTGGCTGTTACTTTCAATTGTCTATTCTCCTCCTCAACGTTGTATGCCATTCTTTCATTTTGTTAAAAGGCAGATTTTTATTTTTTAGGCCTATCCTTCTTATTCAATCCACCTGAAAATCATTCTTGTAGTCATTTCTATCTTTTTAAACATTGCTGTGTGTGACTTTTCTGTCCTCTTGTAACAGTATGCTCAGCCTGCTCCTTGGGTCATTCTAACAGATGTGTCTTTTATTGTATTTGACAGTATCATCAGTGGAATCCAGATTGAAAGCACAAAAAGTAGAGATGGGTCTTCCCAAAAACTTTCAAGAGAAACATTGGGAGTTTGGGATATGGGAAGGTAATGGAGGTAGTTTCAGTAGATAGTTGCTAAGGAGAAAACTTTGAAAAGCCCAACTCTTAATGCTATGAATTTCTGCTAACCGTAACCCTACCTTTCCAAACCAGAACACATGGATGTTTTTACAGCACATGAGAAAACATCTCTAATTAAATGGATCATGTCCTAATTTAAGCATCCTGCCTAAACTGGTTTCTCCATATCAGGATATATTAAAATAATTTTGATTGCAATACCTAGAATATCAAACCTGCCCATTTATTAAATTTAAGGAGTTCAGCCCTATGATAAAGATATGTGAGTCATTAGGTTATAGCAAAATTTGGCAAAATTCCTGTTTCCTTTATTTGTTTTTCCATATTGCATCAAGTTCTTATGTTGTTGTGAAAATAAAAGGATTTTTATCCTAAGAATTCAGACCGTATTTATTAAGAGGTTCTTTTTGAAGGAGCAGGATTAATTAAAAGCCTGTCTCAAATCAAGATATAACAAATTACTCCTAGCAATTTATTATTTTAACAGCAAAAGTGATGTGGGTTTTAGTTGTCTCCTTATTTGTCTTCCAAGTTCCCACCAGCCAGTCTCTGAAAGGACAATGGATGCTTTTGGAAGGTTCTCTGGTGCAGCTTGTCATCATTTCACCAGGCTTTAAAGAGAAGTCTTGATTGATTCCTGAGAGAAATAAACACACAACCATTATTCTGAAGCCACCAAAACCGTAACTAGGTTTTCAAATGGTGCCTTTGAGATATGGATGCCATTTTCAAAGAGGTTCAACCTATGTGGCAGCCCTTCATAGTAGGCCAGTTCAAGACACAGGCAAAGCAGAGATTCCAGGATGCTCTTCTCTGTAGTAAGGTAGAATAAGATGATTTTATTTATTTTTGTTTATTATATGTATCTCACCTTTATTTTTTTTTACAAATAACCCAAGGTGGAGAACATAACCCACACTCCTTTCTCCTCCTATTTTCCCAACAACAACAACCCTGTGAGGTGATTGGGCTGAGAGAGAGTGACTAGTCAGCCTATTTATTATAAGGGGAACACAGAGTACCTTAGATGGATTTTTAAAATTAAGTCACCAAGCTAAAAGTTATCAGACTGTGAATTCTAATCCTACCTTTTTGGCTTTCATGGCTAAGGTAGGATCAGAACTCAGTCTCCTGATGTCAAGTCTGGTGCCTTAATCTTAACCTTAAAAGTCCAACTAAGGTGCTCTGCATTCCCCTTATACTAAACATGGAGGGGTTTGTGGAATCAAAATGCAGGACCCAAAGCATGTAATCAATGCTCACTGCAATATTTACTGTTAACAGTGTGCACTGGAGAAATTCTCTTGAGAAAATAATGGGAGGAACTCTTGCAGAGAAAAGGATGCTGTCAGGCTTGTTCCAGCTTGGATGTTTAGGAAAGAAAGACCCTCAAATCCATTTGTAGCAAAAGGTATACTTTTACTAACGTCAAGTGGTTACAGCGCAAAAAAAATGGTTTTGAGTATTCCTGTGCAAAGTCTGCCTTTTCCCCTTCTCCCAGGTCCTCCCATCTTGACCAGTTTTAAGAGTCCAATAATATTAGGAGTTTTGGTAACAGCTTTAAGGTTTGGTGCCTCTTTGGTGGAGTTTCGCATTCCATTCTCATGCTCCTGTTGTTGGATCAACCAGTCTGTTCCAGATTGACACCTCTGGCTTCTGTCACCCTATCATCCCCCTTCCCATTCTCCCCCTCCCCGCCTTTTATGGCAGGATGCCAGCGAAGCAAAGTAGGCTGAAGCCATTATGATGGCAGACCTGACAAATTCACTCATATTTATACATTTCAAAATGGAGGGGGACTTATATGCATGCATATCCATTGGTAATTAATAACCTAACTGATCTCAAGTTACTTCCTGCCCTTCTGTTACCTAGAGAGGACAATAGTCTTCGTTAGAAGAAATATTTGCATCTTGAGATTCAGAGGTGCCTATGGGAATGTTCTGATAACATTTATCACTGGGCTACAAGGACACATTCCCAATGTCTCCATTTGTCTATTAAATAGTCTCATTCATATGAAAACTAATTCCCCCCCCAGGCTGAATTTCATTCTCATGCTTTCTCTTTCTCAGCACTGTGTAACCTTCTCTGTAAGTTACTCTTGGTGGCTCAATTCCTTCCTTCCCTATGCCCAAGATCTGTACTTGTTTATGCTGAGATCTAGAGGTTTCTCCAGGTTCCTCTTCCACAAAAGCCATTGGCATCAGCTTGGAGAGCTTCCGTTTCACACAGTGAAGCTGAGCCACAAAAGTGCTACTTAAAAATTGTTTGGCATGCCGATGTGAAACTACTATTTAGAAAGAAGTCTAGTCCCCTTCTGAAATCATCCAACTTTATCCCAATTGCTGGCCGTTACTACCACCAAGCACTGGATTCCTACCTGCTGTCTTCTTCCTAGTCTGAGGAAACAGAATCACCTTTGGACTTCTCTGCAGAACGAAGAAAAATGAGATATCAAGATAAGGTGTACATTTTATCACTAAAGAATCTAAATCTAGAAGTAGGATTCTGAGGATTCCATGATGCATGGCATAATATATATTTATTAAATATATATCAAAACATTATTGGTTGTCACATGGACAGCCAGATGTTTAGACTGGATTTGACTTTTTTGTCCACCTACTCAGTCCTTCCCAAAAAGCTGGGATGGGCAGATATTTTTTGATAGTATTAAAGTTATCATTGCAGGATGTAAGCTATTCCAAATAAAGCTGCCTTTTGCAATTGACTGAGAGCGATTTTGTCAATGACGATGGTGGTCAAAAGATGATCCAGATGTTTTCGGATTCATTATAGTTGTTGTTGTTATCTTTATGTGAGCAATTAAGGCTTACTTAGAGGATATTACTAGAGACCCAACTCTTGGAACATCATGAAATATGCTTGCTCTATAAAATTTATCACTAGCATTACAAAATTGCCCAGTGCAAAATCAAATGAGTATGTTTCAGCAAAGAGTGGCAATAAAGTCATTTTTTAGAGATTGCTCTATGAGTGAGATGGGCAATGTCTATATTTTATATATAAATGATTTTTAAAAATATCTTTTTCATCAACCACTACTCCCTTCCAAAGGCAGAACTAATAGCTGAACTTACGTGTCTCTTCAGCCTTTGAAAAAAGGCTCTTTAAAAAATCACAGTGCTCTTTCACCCTTTCCTGGAATGGCTCAGTATTAAGAAGGAAGAAATTCTGCTCTGTGGCATTATAGAGTGGCCACTCATCCTTGCTGGCTGCTGACCCAGTGGGATTCCTAAGGAGGAAGAAAAGGACATTGATGGAAACTAATCACGGGGAGAACCAACCTAGAAATAAGGAGAAATTTCCTGACAGTGAGAACAATTGATCAGTGGAACAGCTTTGCCTTCAGAAGCTATGAGTGCTTCATTGCTGGAGGTTTTTAAGAAGAGATTGGACAGCCACTTGTCCAGAATGAAATAGGGCCGTGATGGCAAACCTATGACATGCGTGTCACAGGTGGCACGCATAAGCCTCTCTGCCGGCACACGAGCCCTTACCCCAGCTGAGTTCTGCACGCGCACCTCCCGCTGGCCACCTTATTTTCGGGTCTCTGCAGCGCTGTTGTTTAATCAAAATACAGTTAAAACACTATACAAGCCATCGAGAATATAACTATATACATCCAAAAGGAACAGAAAGTGCCTCATAGGAGCAGATAATCCTAGAGAGGCAGGAAATGCATCACTGAACAATGGAGATGAATGCCAGAGAGGAATAAAGCTGCATACAAGGCAGACGTAACATCTGTTACAACATTAAATTCATGGGGGGGGGGGCAGGGGGAGCGCAGGGGGTGTGTGTGCCCCTTTTTTTGGTCCCAGGAGGCTTCAGGGAGGCCTGCTAGACCCAAAACGGGGCACGTGTGTGTGTGTGTGTGTGTGTGTGTGTGTGTGTGTGTGTCGCATGCGCATGCATCGGGGGTGGGAGAGCACGCATGGGGGGGTGGCATGCACATACACAGGGGGTGTTGTGCGTGCATTGTATTATGGGTGTGGGCCAGGGATGGGTCCTAATTTTTTTTACTACCGGTTCTGTGGGCGTGGCTTATTTTGTGGGCATGGCTTGATGGTCATGTGACAATTATTTAGGATTTAGCAGAGGTACTGGTCTACCAGGCTTTTAACTGCTTGCAGAGCTGTACCGATCTACCCATTTATTTTTGCAGGCACTGATCTACTCATGTATTTTTGCAGGCATCGGTCTACTAATTTGTTTTCTTTTAACACTGATGATGATGATGATGATGATGATGATGATGATGATGATTAATATTTCTATGCCGCCCACTCTCCGAGGACTCTGGGCGACTTACAACAATCGACAGTATACTAAATAGCATATTTCCCCCTAACAATCTGGGTCCTCTGTAGGGCGGCCCTTTGAAGCCCCGCGGCAAGAGTTTAAACAGTTTTTTTCCCTCTAGCCATCAGCTGGGATTCAGGAGGTTTGAGAGAAAAGTTATTTCTCAATTGCTGTGCCTATTAATGGCTTTTGGAATGGACAAGTAAATAAGCCAATCAGAAAGCAGCTAATAGGTTTGAATCTCCTGGGCTTTTATATTCCCTCCCCTAACTGTCACAGTTGACAGTATAAAAGGAGATTCTTGACAGAAAACCGAGCTCTTCTGTTAGAAAACTGTGGGCAGTTTGGAAGTCAGTTAGAAGGGCAGTTCTGATGGTTTAACAGACTCTTTCTTCTGAGGAAGAATAGCCAGAACTAACATCGCTTAGAGCGATTACATACATACATACATACATACATACATATATATATCTGACAGGATATTTAAGCAAAGTAATAAAATACTATTTAATATTTGAATATATATTGTTTTGTTTTTATATTAATAAAAACATTTATTGTTAACTGCTTCAGAGGCTCATTTGTTAAAGTAGATCTTAATAGAGATAAAGGTTTACGATACATTGATTTATTTACACCTCAACAGGAGGCAGCAATAGATTGGGTGTGGGGCCAAATAAAAGGTAAGAATAACGCGGGGGGTGGGCGGGGAGGCAGAACCGGTTTGGTGACATCATATCGTCACCGCTACCGGCTCGGGAGAACCGGGCCGAACCGGGAGGAACCCACCACTGGTGTGGGCATGCATGCATGCTGTTGTGCGCATGTGCATGTTTTTGGACAAAAAGGTTAGCCATCACTGGAATAGGGTCTCCTGCTTGAGCAGGAGTTTGGATTAGAAGGCTTCCAAGGTCCCTTCCAACTCTGTTATTCTGATGTAGCTCTTTTCCAAAGCGACTGGTTTTGACTTGACAAACTACAACCAAGGGGAACTCCCAAAGGGGACTTTGAGGGAGGGGTGGAGTTTGGCTTGGTGAAATCTCTTATGTCTCCTCCTTGCTGATCCAAACCCAGGTCAGCTCCTCATAGACTCTTGGATCTGCCAGTCCCAATCCTCACAACCTGGGCACCCTCAATCTTGTGAGTTTCCCCTTCACTACTTACTCCCTTGCAAGCCTTTGCTCGTTCTCTTAATGGTAGAATAACTTTTTATTCTAAATTTCTAAAAAATTCCCTTTTGCTTTCTTTATTCCACTTGGAGAAATAATGTACCCTGGAATATGTGTGATAACACTGAACTCATAAAAGAACAATGATTTATAAGTGACATTATTAAGAATTCTTAAAAATTTCAGGGCTGTTTCCCGTACAGGTAGTCCTTGACTTTCAACTATTCATTTAACGTCCATTCAAGGTTACAATGGCATTGAAAAAAATGATTTACAACTGGTCCTTGCACTTACAACTATTCCAGCATCCTCACGGTCACGTGATCAAAATTTGGCTGCTTGGCAACTGGCATGTATTTCCAATGCTGCAATGTCCCAGGGTCACTCAATCACCATTGGCAACCTTCCCAGCTGATTTTCAACAAGCAAAGTCAGTGGAGGAAACTGGATTCACATAATCATATATTGTACATAAAAATTGCAGTGATTTGCTTAAAAACTGTGGTAAGAAAGATTTAAAAATTGGGTATGATTCACTTAACAACTGTCTTGCTTAACAACAGAAATTCTAGTCCCAACTGTGGTCGTAAATCATGAACTACTTGTATTAACACAATCTGAAAACATACGCAAAGGAATAGCGTGCATTTCTTTATGGCTGCATTACTTTAGATATAAAAGTGCATTTGTTGAATGGGGGGGGCTTTCTTTGTATTTACAATACAAATTTATAGAAATAAAGTGAACCACTTACCCAGTTCTGGCAAACTCTGCCCAGTAGTGCATCATCTGACGGCTCAGCCTGGCTTCAGCCTCTGTGTATGTTTGATTGAAAGGCAGCGTTGATTCAAGGGTTCCAAAAACAAAAGGAACTTCAGCACCGTGAGATGCCCCAATCCATTCGGGCCAAACTGACCATGAAGGGCGATGTGCGAATAAATAGGCATATACAGGACTCCCAGTTTTCCTGATATTTCCTGCAGCTTCCCTCAATGGACATGCAATGATCCGATCTGTATAGAAGTGGGACAGAGCAGAGCGGTATTGTGCTGGGCCGTAGTTTCCTTCACTGTACCTCAGTGCAATAGTCCGAATAAAATCTTCAGTTGCATTTTGCACCAACAGCTGAATTCCTTTCAGAAGCTGCTCCTGGTTGATGAGATTGTGGGTGGTGTTAGAGAAAACGAAGTGGACAAATGTGGCCATTTCATCAGAGGTTTCACCTATGAGGACAGGTTTGACCTGAATTTGCCCCTCCTCCATGAGCTTTTCTGGTTCACCAAGCAAAAACTCCCCATCTACAGTTGGCCTGAAGGCAAAATTGACAAGGAAGCCACCTTTGAAGAACAGAGCTATTTCATGCTGAATAAGTTCAGAAACATTTTTTGTTTGCAGACAATGCACTATGCTGATAGTATTGTCCTTGGAACAACCTAGCAGATGAACAAATTCCAGTGATTTTTGTTTGGCTTCCTCAGGAGACCTCCAAGCATAGAAGGCATTGGCTATTCCGCTCTGGATCACCGCTTGGGCAAAAAAGTCCTGGCTTTTTGGTGCGAGAAGATGGAAATTCACAGAAGCTCCTCCAGCACTGTGGCCGAAAAGGGTCACCCGAGAAGGATCTCCCCCAAAGGCAGCCGCATTCTCTTTTACCCACTTCAGGGCCAGCTGTTGGTCCCATAAGCCAAGGTTCCCCGGAGCAGCTGGTGGCCAGGGCTCCCAAACGATAATTGATGGTGACCACAATGATGTTCTCAGCGGCAGCCAAAGGTGCCCCATTGAACATGTCCACAGAAGATGTGCCCATTAAATATCCCCCTCCGTGTATCCAGACCAAAACAGGGACTGGGGAAGAAGGTTGTGGGTGTGGCACCCAGATGTTGAGGGAAAGGCAATCTTCTGACAGTGGTGTTTTAGGAGACCATATTTCTGCTTCAGGGTCTTCCAGGAAAATAAATTGAGAACAGGAATTGCCAAAACTGGTGGCTTCCAATGTTTGCTTCCATGGCTGATGCGGAAGAGGTTTCTGGAAACGCAAGTTCCCCAGGGGAGGCTTAGCATAAGGAATGCCTAGATAGGCTGTCACAGATCCAATGCCGGCCAGGAACTGCTTGCCCTTAATAGGGCCACTGCTAGTTATGACCACTGTGTCTCCTTTAGAAGCAGTACTGGAGGCTAATGGAAAGGGGAGGAGGAGGAGGAGGCAGCACAAGAGAGACGGGCATAGCAGACAAGGCATTGCAACAGTAGGACGAGTCGATGGACCTGGAAAAAGTTACACCCAATATGAGATTATTCCAATACTGTATAAACACACTGTCAGACCTGGAAGCCATCTTTCTACCTTTGTGCCTTCAGGCTTCAGGCTTGCCACAAATTCTACTGTGGGAAATTGGGAGGGGGGATTGTATAGAGTGAAGAAGATATATAGTCAAAATAAAATTCTTTATAGAAAGTCAAGGCCATTGTGCCTTGCAGCTTTGTTGAGAAGAATGAGGAGGTATCATCTGTTCCGGATGGCACCTGATTGGATGTGTGGTGGACATGTGGGTGGGGGCAAGGTCTTGAACTTTTTTTTGGGTGTGGAAAACCCAGAAGCTCTCAGATTTGGGTTTTCCTAGATGTGCCAATATGACATCTCTAATAAAAGTTAGCTTTGAGGAACTTCAAGCCTCGGAGTTTGATTTTGTTGGGGGTGTTACTTGGAACCCTGACATTAACCTGAATCCCCTTTCAACTAAGGCAGCTCCCCCAAGTCCTGAGCCCCAAGTGTCGACCCGATAATGGGTGGCGCGAAGACTCAGGGAAGATGGAGGAAGAGAAGAAATCCACGGAGGGAGCAGCAGGCATGGGCTCAGCAACTTCTTCTGACACCCTCTACTCCCTTCCCTGGCTATGGAGGAAGCCATGAAAACTGCAGAAGCCGAACGCCAGCTGGGCACTCGACGCAAGGAGCCAATGCCAGAACAGAGGTTGCAGCCAGACCTGACTCTGCAGAGCTGTGAGAGTTACCCCAATCCAGGAATTGCTGTTGGAACCACGAGTGGATGCAGGGCAAGCCTCAACCCTCAGCTGGGGAGTGCAACAGAAACTGCACCATAGGCACTCTGGAGAATGGGGCTTCCCAACATTGTCATGCAGCCAGTAACTGGCTGGTCTCCCGGAGCAGTTGAGCCAACTAAGCATGAGCGAGATGGCCCAGCCCCTCAGCACCAGGAAGCTCAGATGGACATTGTCGCAGCCAACATTCACCTTCCCAAGCCAGGGAGTTGCAGGACAATGGACGGAGCGTCAGCCTCTTTCCATTCAGCCCCGAGTGGCTCGACTCCCAGCCTTACGCTCCAGCCCAGCCTGGTGGTGGGTTCCCTCCACCCAGGGGCACAATTGGTGGGAGGGGCCACCCAGCAATTTAACTATCAGTTCACCTGAACTGGGCCAAACCGGCTGAATCCCACCACTGAAAGACAAAAAGGACAAGTATAAAAAGTGGAAAGAGGGGCAAAAAACTAAGGCAGAATATGAAGTGAGGAAAGCTAAGGCTCACAATGAACAAAGGCTTGCGACTAAAGTAAAAAATAACAAAAAAAGCGCTTCTTCCAACATATTAAAAACAAGAAAAAAGTCAAGGAAACAAATGGCCCATTGCTGGGAGAAAGTGGCAAGAAGGTGACAAGCAACAGGGAGAAAGCAGAACTACTTAACTCATTTTTTACATCTGTCTTTACACAAAAGAAAAAAACAGTCCAACCTATCAAAAACAGCACCACAAAAAACAGATTAGGAACACAAGTTAAAATAGGGAAGAAAATGTTAAGTGAACACCTGTCTACCCTAGATGAGTTCAAATCACCAGGACCAGATGGATTACACCCCAAGGTTCTGAAGGAACTGGCAGACGAGATCTCAGAACCACTGAACTATATCTTTCAAAGATCCTGGAGCACAGGGGAACTGCCAGAGCACTAGAAAAGAGCTGATGTAGTTCCCACCTTCAAAAAAGGAAAAAAAAAAAAAAAGATCCAGGAAACTACAGACCTATCAGTCTGACCTCAATACCAGGGAAGATTCTGGAAAAGATAATCAAGCACGAATCACCAAACACCTAGAAGCAAACCAAGTAATAGCCAAAAGCCAACACGGGCTTGTCAAAAACAAATCATGCCAGACTAATCTTACTGCATTCTTTGACAAAGTGACAAAATTAGTGGACCAGAGGAATGCTGTCGATATAATTTACTTGGACTTCAGTAAAGCATTTGATAAAGTAGACCATAACCTACTACTAGATAAAGTAGAAAAATGTGGGTTAGACAGCATCACCACCAGATGGATTCGTAACTGGCTGACCAACCGCACTCAATGTGTAGTCCTCAATGGAATTGCATCTACACGGAGGGAAGTACGCAGTGGAGTACCCCAGGGCTCTGTTTTAGGCCCAGTGCTCTTCAACATCTTCATCAATGACTTGGACGAGGGGATAGATGGGGAACTCATCAAATTTGCAGATGACACCAAGCTGGCAGGAATAGCCAACACTCCAGAAGATAGGCTCAAGATACAGAAGGATCTTGACAGACTTGAACATTGGGCGCTATCTAACAAAATGAAATTCAAAGGTGAAAAAAGCAAGGTTCTACATTTAGGGAAGAAAAACAAAATGCACAGGTACCGTATATGTGGTACCTTGCTCAATAGTAGTAACTGTGAGAGGGATCTTGGAGTCCTAGTGGACAACCATTTAAATATGAGCCAGCAGTGTGCAGCAGCTGCCCAAAAAGCCAACACAGTTCTAGGCTGCATAAACAGAGGGATAGAATCAAGATCACATGAAGTGTTAATACCACTTTATAATGCCTTGGTAAGGCCACACTTGGAATATTGCATTCAGTTTTGGTCGCCACGATGTAAAAAAGATGTTGAGACTCTAGAAAAAGTGCAGAGAAGAGCAACAAAGATGATTAGGGAACTGGAGGCTAAAACATATGAAGAACAGTTGCGGGAACTGGGTATGTCTAGTTTGATGAAAAGAAGGACTAGGGGAGACATGATAGCAGTCTTCCAATATCTCAAGGGTTGCCACAAAGAAGAGGGAGCCAAGCTATTCTTCAGAGCACCTGAGGGTTGAACAAGACGCAATGGGTGGAAACTAATCAAGGAGAGAACTTAGAACTAAGGAGAAATTTCCTGACGGTTAGAACAATTAATAAGTGGAACAACTTGCCTGCAGAAGTTGGGAATGCTCCAACACTGGAAATTTTTAAGAAGATGTTAGATAACCATTTGTCTGAAATGATGAAGGGTTTCCTGCCTGGGCAGGGGTTGGACTAGAAGACTCCAAGGTCTCTTCCAAATCTGTTATTCTATTTCTATTGCTTCCAAGTCTGTCTATTCTATTCTATTCTATTCTATTCTATTCTATTCTATTCTATTCTATTCTATTCTATTCTATTCTATTCTATTCTATTCTATTCTATTCTATTCTATTCTATTCTATTCTATTCTTATTCCATTCCATTCTAAAATAAGAGGTGCAGCTTTCTAGGACTGCTGATGGCTCCAAATGTTTTTCCAAAGCATCCCAATGTGGAATGCACATTGTTTCCTTGGAAATGTTTCCTTCTATGTTCAAAGCAATTCTATCAAAGCGTTCCAAGTTAAAAAATAACTACATTCCTTCTCCATGTTTGTTTCAGTCCTGGGAATTAACCCGTCTCCTCTCCTCCATGAGATGGATGCCTTCTGCATTTTTAAAAAAACTCCCTTTATAAGTCTGAAAGTTGAATCATGACAACTGGATTTCTTTTCTTTTTGGTTTGAAGCGTTTTGCTGCTTATGCAGTTAGCTTCTTCAGTCACATACTCACTCCCTTTATAAGCGAAGTCAGATGGCATTTGGCCACAAACGCAAAGAAGGTCTTGAACTTTTCCAGAAAATCGCTGCAGGCTCCAACTGATGACCTGACTGTGAACTGAAATGATGACTGTTCCTTCTTGCTGCTGATGTCGAAACCCAACTGCTTTCTTAAAAGAATTTAATTAGAGGTGCCAGGAATATGCCAGACCTGGGGAAGTTACCTAAAAGCCCTGAGGAAGAAATTTCTATAAAGGGTGGTTATGACTTCTGTTTTCTTCAACTTAGAAACTTTATAATCTGTAATTCTAAATTGCACTCCTCACCCTGTTTCCTCATGTTCTGCTGTCTAAATTCTTTTCCTGACTTTTGACTCTAATCACCACCCGTGTCTGGATAAAGTGCCCCCAACAAAGCACAGAAACATTGTCAGAATGTAACTAAAAGGTTTTGCCTTACTGAACCAATTTCTACATTCATAAATAAAAATTAATTAATAGAATTGGAGATTCCAACTACACGAATGCAAATTAAATTGAATTAAAAAGATCTTAATTCAATTACCCTATTAACAGAACTGTAACACTTATGACTGCATTAAAAGACTTCTTGCAAGACTGGTTTGATTCTTCGGCATAAAACTGGAAATGTGGGAAGTAAGAGTCTGAAAACAGCAACATTTTATCATACAATGGCAGGCTTGCTGCAAAATTGTAACTCTGGCCAGAATAAATTGGAAGGGACCTTAGAAGTCTTCTAGTCCAACCCCCTGCTCAAGAAGGAAATCCTATTGAAGGGACATAATAATAGTAGAATAGATAGAATTACTGAGACGTAATAATAACACTTCTGTAAGAATTGCTTTGCTCCTGTAAGAATTAGAATTGCCTCTGCCATTTGCTTCTACCACTGATCTAACTCCGGTTATCTTGTTTTTGTGTACAACTCAGTGCCTGGTGCGGGGTGTCATGGCCTGGCAGGGTCAAATCAGGCAAATACCTGTGTTGCTAAGCACTCAACCCCCCTGTTCCTTGCTGCACAGGCAATGCAGGGCTATAAGGAAGGCATGGGCCAGGGGGCCAGAATTGGGTACTAAGCTGATGTTTCTGAAACAGTGGTGGGATTTAGCCGGTTCTGTCCGGATTGCGCGAATTGGTAGCGAAGACTGCGGGAGGCTCCGCCCACCCACTCAGATGTAATGCGCGACAACTGTGCATATACAGACGGCCGTACGCATGCGCAGACCTGGCGTACACGCTCACATTTGCGAACCAGTAGGGAAGGTAAGTGACCCATCTCTGCTCTGAAGGTATAAAAGGATGCCATACCTTCTCCAAGGTGTGGCCTTTCCTCTTTGTCTGTATGTTATGGAATGGTCTACCCAGCTCTTTGCTTTGATCAAAAATAAAAGCTGATATTTTTTCCAAGCCTCTTCTTGGATCTCTCTCTTTAGCATTCTGGTGACCCAAGTACATTTTGGGACCTTATACTATAACATTTCAGACAAATGGTTGTCCAATCTCGTTTTAAAAACCTCCATTGTTGGAGCACTCACAACTTCTGGAGCAAGTCATTCCATTGATTAATTATTCTGTTAGGAAATTTCTCCTTAGTTCTAAGTAGTTCTAGGCAGCATGAGTCATAACTCTCTTTGACCATCACCTTCATAATTTCAAATGGTTACTGAGTAAGTTCTGAGTAAGTGGTTCAGGGAGGTCATATGTAGCACCAAAGATTTTGTGACAAACCTAACTTACTAGTTTTTAGTATGCTCTTCTCTTATTACTACAAGTATTAGAAATGTATCAAGGCAAATTAATTGTAACCCATCTCATTAATTTGAAGGCAACTGATTTTTAAATGATAAAAGGTTATGAAATCTTGAAATCTAATTATGGAATAATAATACACCTGTGATTTCACATTGTGAACAAATAATAATAATAATAATAATAATAATCATCATCATCATCATCATCATCATCATCTTAAAATTAAGAATTTTAAAATTAAAATTAAGAAGATATTTGGTTGATACCTAGGACGCTGGCAGCAACCTGTGTCAACCATTAGCACCAGTCAATGGTATTTGTGACACATTTTTAAATGATCAGTTGACTGAGTTTCATGGTTAATGAATAAAAGAGATGATGATGATGATAGACAAATTCACCATCAGTCAATTGCAATTGGCAGCCTTACTCAGAACAGCTGACATCCTGTGACGATACATCTAAAAGCATAAAACATCAATATCTGCCTATCCCAGGTCCACTTGATAAGTGGACAAAAATGCCAAATCCAGTCTGAACATCTGGCTAACTGTGCAATGAACCAGTAATAAAAAATGTCTAATCCAGGCTAAACATTCGCCTGACTATGCTTCAAGCCATAATATATTAAATAATACATTCCATTCAAGCCATAATTCAGTTAGTGAGTCTTAGGCAAAAAGGTACTTACAGAAGACATTCATCTTGTTGGCTTGGAGACTGTCAATGGCAATGCTTGGAAGAAGATTTACTGATGCTACGTGTTCAAAACACTTTTGATTCACATGTCAAGAGGATGCATTGGAGAATGCTTTTATGCGCTAATCTTCTCGCCTGCACTTTTATCCTCCCCTCCCATTCTAATTATACATAAAACAAGGAACAAGGAAATCAACTCTTTTGGAGTTACACCCATGAGGAACACACATGAAAGGAACATATCAGTTCTGAGAGTTATTCAGGAATTTTAGATGCTGCTTATACATCTGGACCTAATTGTAAAATGAAAATAAGTTTCAGTTGACTACCCTGTCATTTCACATCCAAATTCCTCTTGCAATAATCTAAATAGTTTAAAAAAACTTGATTGAGCAATTCTGAGAGTTAAAAATCCACACATTTTAAAAGTGGCCAAGGTTGATCTACAGGAACCTTTCTCAACCTTTTTATCCTGGAGGAACCCTTATAATAAGAGATTAAGGATTTCCTTCATAAATTTCATGAGGCAATTGGCAAGTAAATTATCTTGGTTGAAAGATTAGAGTAATAAATTTTAATCCAAGTAACAAAAATAGAAAGCTCTCTGTATTTTGTTCAGAAATATGTTTTGTATCTAACAAGGCCACTAATGAATTCATTTTTTCTAATGAATTTTTCTAAAGATCAAACCACCGCCCACCCATCCTCCACAAAGCAATCTTAAATTCATACTCATTGCCTCAATGACGCTATCTATCTAACCATCGCATCCTCTGCTGTCCCCTTCTCCTTTTGCATTTGAGCTTCAGCTTCAGTATTTGTCCTTCCAAAGGACTGTCAGAGTTGATTTTTCTTTAGGAAAGGAGGCAAATTAAGGAAGGGGAAAAAAAAAAACAAGAACGCAAGGCGCTAGCAGTAAAATCATTTCCCATGTGCTTTCCAGGAGAGGCTAGAGAGCCTTTGGTTGCCATGCACTGGATAACTGGCTCGTTATCTTATTTTTCTTATTGGTTCAAAAATATCCTAAATCCTGAATCCACCTTTCCTCTCTCTTTGGAAAAGAAGGTATCGAAGCTCACATGTTAGGGGACCAAATGGCCCATAGAACTGCCTCCAGATTACCCGCCCCCTCCCGCTCCCCCCCCAGGAACGCGCCGGAGGGATCACTCGAGACAAGAGCGAATTTACAGCTTGTTAAATCAACCCGCGCCGGAACGAGAGGTTCAGCTGCGATATCTGCAGGGCTGCTGGCTTTCTTTGGCCCCCGTTTTTCCTAAGTCGAGTGTTGCTTTGTGTTCGAGCTGTTTGCTAAATAAAAGAGAGCAACAGTCTGCGGGTGTGATCGGGCAATAGAAATCCTGTAGCTCTTTTTGGAAACGGAGAGGCTGCCGTATTGTCGCCTGCGCAATGGCGCTTGCGAGGAAGTTGAGTTTGGGGCGGGAACCTTTGAGGTTTTAATGTTAAACATTTCCGCTGGGAAGAGGGTCAGATCGTTCCTGGCGTTTGCTGCAGAAGTTTATAGCGAACCCTAAAAGGGAGAGATTTGGGGTGGGGAGGAAAAAAAGGTTTATGTCAGAAGTGGGATTTGAACCCACGCCTCCATTCGGAGACCAGAACACCCAACACTGGGAAAGGAGAGATCCTTGAGTCTGGCGCCTTAGACCACTCGGCCATCCTGACATCTGGGGACATGAGGCTTCTGAAAATAGTTACCTAATTGTTCCCATGCTAATTCATTTGTGAACGTGTTGGGGATCCTCCCCCGAATTTGGAGGCGCTCCCCTTCCTTGTTACAAGGCGTCGCCTTTTGGATGTTACGGGGAAAAAAAGGCAGCGTCTATGTTGCACAAACCAAATCCAATCACACTTCCTTGTGAACAAAATGGGGAAAACGCGGTCTGGCTAACCGCTCTTTCCTCTTACTCAGTTAGATATAATTGCAAAATCAAAATTATTTGTCAGGTATTGAAGATATTTACAACAATGTAGAACAAAGCCGCTCTTCTTATGATTAGTATTGTTTAAAAATACAGGTTGTACGGTTTTATTTAAGTTAATAAATAACCTAATGATTTATTATTATTGTTTTTACACAATGCAATTTCTCTAAAGGTGGCAACTTTAATTTTTAAAAAATTAATTTTAATACAGTAAATATATAACACACGTACACTCGGGTTCTTTTGGGGGTCCTCCATCATTTTTAAAAGTGGGAAGGGTTTCTGAGAAAAAAAATCAATATTGCTCTACATGAATACTTGTGATGTCATTCTTCCCTGAACCCGTAGTAAAAAAATGTAAAAAAAAGTTCCAACAATCAGCTGAACGGCGCAGGATCCTGGGAACTTTTTTTAAACTTTTTTTTTGAAAATATTTTTTTATTTTTAAACAAACAAACATAAAATCATCTTCAATTGCAAATAGTGTGTCGGTTGGTTACAAGTCTTTTGTGCATCGTTCACCAAATTCATAGCTTACAATTTACAATTTACCTAGATTCTCATATCATCGACCTAATATATATCTTTATATTGTTATCCTCATTAATCATTTATTTGACTATGACTATTTCTTCCCTCATTATCATTCAAAGTATTCTAAAATTTGCTTTAATTTTTAATATAACATTCATATTTATCCAATAATAATACATCTATATGTTATATTTCGCATAGTTCTGCACTTTTTGTATTGTAAAAGTCTCTGCCATATTTCATTTCCATATTCTTTTTATCTAACCATTGATAGAATAGGTTTTTTTTACTTTTTACAGCATTTTTTACTACCCGTTCAGGTGAATAGGTAGTGAAAAAAATGCTTTAAAAAAGTAAAAAAACAAAAGAAGGTTCCTACGATCGCTTGGCACAGTTTTTAAAAACTTTTTTAAAGCATTTTTTACTACCTATTGACCCGAACCTATTCGCCCGAACATTTTTAAAGTAAAAAATGCTTTAAAAAAGTTTTTAAAAAGTTTCCCAAGATCGCGTGCCACAGCTGATCCCCTCCCCTCTTCTACTTACCTTCCCAAGCCTCCTTTTGGCACATAGTGTGCATGTGCATGCAACACGCGTTGGTGTAAACTGCGCATGTATGCATGCGTAGCACATGCTTGGCGCAGCGCGCATGCATGGCCAGTGAAGCTGTAGCAAACTGGTTCAGATTTCACCACTGATTTCCCCCCTGGGGTGTCCCTCTCATGGGTTAGACAGGGGAAGGTCATGTCATGGAGACTTACAGAAGAGAATATTTGTAGCTCGGGATTGAACTGTGGGGCCTTTGGTGCTTTTTGAGCAATGCTCTGTTGACCACTGAAATAGCAGTCCGAACTAAAGACAAAGGGTCAAACCACTACACCCATGTAAAAGACCCAGTGGAAGAACTTAAAGGGTGGCAAGTGATTCCTGGAGAAGACCCTCTGAGAATAAACATTTCCAAAAACTGACATGGTCATTGTGGTATGCATGGGTTTCGTTCGTGATTTTTCTCGTTGCAGGAGTAGCAACTTTTTGGTATTTCCGGCCTGAGTGGTGGCCTATGTTATTCTATCTGAAGGTCCCAAAAGCAGCTGTGGAACTTCACACTCTACAGATTGTGTTGGTTTTGTGATTGTAACTGTGTCACTGAATGTTGCTGTTATTATTGTTGTAATTGTGAACTGATACATGCCTATGGGGAAGAGTGGGACACTGTGATTGTGGAAATGTGCAAAGGATTGCTCCCCATATAAACTCTATATATTGGGACATTGGATCAGATCAAGAGCCTTGATAGTACAGTGGTCTAAGCACCCTGTTATTAACACAGCTGCCTGCAATTACTGCTGGTTCGAATCTCTCCAAGGCTCAAGGTTGACTCAGCCTTCCATCCTTTCTAAGGTAGGTGAAATGAGGACCCAGTTTGTGGGGGCAATAAGCTGACTTTGTATAAATATACAAAAGTATGAAGGCTATTGCTTAACGCATTGTAAGCCGCCCTGAGTCTCCGGAGAAGGGTGGCATATAAATCAAATTAAAAAAAAAATTAAAAAAAAAACCTTAACTTGAACACAGTAGTCCTAGGAGAGAGTGATATCATAATCCCTGACAATATAAAATGTATTGATTTAATGCAATGGTTCAATATTTGGGAATAATTTTCTTATGCGTAGGACTTATTACAATTACCCAAGAACAATAGTTTAAGGAATGGATTATAAACCCTTTATTTACCAACATCTACAAGGAGAAGAGGACAATGACTTGCTAAAATATATTATCCTATCAGTAAGAATCATCCGTTCCTTAGAACTTTAGATCCAACTTTTAGATATATTTAGCAGAAAGTGCCTTAGCTGAGAAGGAGGCTTGGGGGAAAAAAAAGCCTTTTCAAATTTTAGAGAATATAATAGCAATGTTAATTGTATTTATAAACGTTGACTCTTTATAATTGTTAGCTATCTTATATGTTTCATGCATAGGCAGGTAGGAAATAAAGTATGAAAATTCTAACATACAATGCTTTTGCATTGCATACTGAACGACAAATGCAGAAGAAACTGCTAAGATATTGAAGGTATTGGTTCTAAATCCCACTTTATTAGTTTTTGTTTAGTTTAATTGTTTAATTGTTTTATCTCCTCTTGAAGGAAGCTTTCTTACATGCTGGGTAAGATGGAAAATCCAACATCCTTTGAAACAATAGGATTTTTCTTCTAGTGAAAAGTAGGATTCCTCTGGTGATTGAGCAGTTTGTAAAATCTTAAGGCTGGCTACGTTGTTTAAGTCTTTAAGAAGTGGGCAAAGTCATTTATTTTTTTTCCAGATGCTAGACTTCTTGGTTCCCTGGGTGCAGGGTGGATGATGGGAAGATCAGGCTGGCCAATTCTTCTCTTATATAGACCAGCCAGGGATCCACATGCGGTTAAAAAGGAGAGGCATTGGGATCATTGGCAAACACACATGGTATCAACTGACGGGGCACCATCTCATTTCCTTCGTATTGGAGATCCTTGGAGCTGAGAGTGCAGACATTGTTACCCATCTTGCCACAGAGAGCTGGAGAAGGCACTGTATTGCTGAGGATGCATTGCTGCCCAGCTTGCCACAACTGGTTGTTGAGGGAACTGTGTTGCGGAGTACACATTGTTGCTGGCCAACTTGTCATGGATGCCTTGCCAGGCCATATCACTGCCGGGGTCCCAGCGCTGGGGCCCACAGTGGCTTGTGAGGACATATAGTTGCTGAGGAAACATTGCTTCTGCCCATCTTGGGTTGTGAGGATACAGCGCTGGGTAAAGATTGCATTCTCATTGGCCTTAGCCAGCTGGGATGCTTTTCCTTGGCACAGATTTTGCAGCACCTTTGGCACAAAGGTTTTGGAAGGATGTTTCACTGGCTTTGTGTTCAAGTTGCTCTGACGTTGCTTTTTTTGCGGCTTCCTTGGCTGCCGTTTCTTTCTTCGCTGAGGCTGCTTCTTCTTCTTCTGGTTGTAGGTAGCAGCCATGGTTTCAATTGTCTATGTTCACTCCTGTGTCTTGGTGATGAATGCCTCTGTATCTCCTTTACATTTGTTATGATATAACGGCTTGCATTCAAATGAGGGACTAGCTCTTGGCCTTCTGATTGGTTGGCTAGAACAATACTCTGTTTTGAGATGTAACCATAGTACCTGAGCAGATAGCATCTCCTCATAATATGCCTCTGTGAGCCATTTCTCTTTGCTACCTGCGAAGGTGGGTGAGGTGATGACATAAAATTTGGATTAAACAGGAAGAATAAATTTGATAGAATGTCATTTCAGAATCTAACTGCTGTTAAACCATAGTCTTTCTGCATAATAAAAAATTGGTTGGGTTTTTTCCCCTCTCTTGTCTTGCATTCATTGGAAGAAAGCAGATTCTGGTCTGTGCATGGCATAATGAATCCCAGTGGAAGTCAGCTCCCCTGCATTAAATCTAATTTCTACAAGGTTTGAAACAATGGAGTGGATGTTTCTTTGTTCATTGAATAAACACTTTTTACCCAGATCATAAAATGTGATGAATTACTTATTTGGAGAACAGCGACAGCTTGAAGAACCACTGTCATCCCCATTAGGTAGACCAGACCAAGAAATCAACTACATTTTTTAGTTATGGAGACTGGCTGTAATAGAATATTGCAAGTCTGATTGTGCTGTACCTCCTTATACACTGCTCAAAAAAATAAAGGGAACACAAGCAGAAGACATCCGAGATCTGAATGAATGAAATAGCCTTATTAAATACTTTGTTCGTTACATACAGTAGTTTTGTGTTCCCTTTAGTTGTTTGAGCAGTGTATAAACTACTGTATGTAAAGAACAAAGTATTTAATAAGGCTATTTCATTCATTCAGATCTCGGATGTCTTCTGC